TAGTTACCATTAACTTGGGATCAGGTAAGGTGCATTTCTGAGGAGAAAATGGGCAGCTTTCTCTGCCTCAGTTTCCTCATCTGAAGCAGCTAGGGGATATAGTATATAGAAAGGTAGATTTGGTATCATGAAGATCTGAATAGGAATCTTGCCTCAGACACTGAATAAAGGGGTGGCCCTGGACAAGTCATTTAACCTCAGTTTAACAAGTCATTTAACCCAGTTAGTTTCAGTTTCCTCATCTATGAAAAGGGAATAACCTTAGCACCTACCTCACAAGGATATTATAAGGGTCAAGTGAGGTAACATTTGTGGAGTGCTTTGTAAATTTTACAATGCTATGTAAATACTAGCTATGTATTATTATTATTATTTATTATCTGTAAAATGAGGAGGTTAATAACTTCTAAGATCCCTTCTAGCTCTAAATTTATGACCCTATGAATGCCAAGGTGGGTTGGAGTTAGGCTATTGGAAGTATTCTTAAATCACCCAGTGAAATTGGCATCAAAGAGGCAAGACAGGTTCAGGGCTGGGAACCCAGTTTGGACAATAGCTCCCAGTCTACTATGGGAATAAAACAAGTACACAAAAGCTTCCAGTCTAATAGGAATATCTGGCACAAAAACTAGCCCTGCACACAGTAGGCACCTGGGAAGTATCTGCTAAAAGTTGTCTGTTACAGTTACTTCCAAGTACAATTCTGGCTTCATTCACCATCCCCTCCTCCAGCAAATTCAGGTCTGACCCTTTCACTGAGGTGCATGTGAAGGACTCCATTCATTTGTTCCTATGGCTCCACTCCATCAGGGCTAGAGTAACATATTCAATTTTTCCTCATTCATTTTAGTCCAGACTCTTTACTCTAAAATTCTATAATCTACCAGGAACCCTTCCAGTGTTGATATTTTATGGTTCTAACATCAATAGGGGCATGGAAACAATATGTGTAAAGGGCTTCCTACTCCCTCAACCACATCCTGGGAAGGAAGGGGGCATCTAGATGGTATGATGCATGGAGTGCTGGACTTAAGAGTCAGGAAGACCAGAGTTTGAATCCTGCCTCAGATACTAGCTGTGTTACCCTGGGCAAGTCACTTAACCACTCTCAGCCTTGGGTTCCTCATTGCTAAAATGGTGATAATAATAGCACCTGGGGGTTGCTAGGTAGCACAACGAATAGAGTATCAAGCCTAGAGTCAGCAAGACTCATTTTTGTGAGTTCAAATCCAGCCTCAGACACTTGCTAGCTGTGTGATCCTGGGCAAGTCATTTAATCCTGTTTGCCTCAGTTTCCTCATCTATAAAATGAGCTGCAGAAGGAAAATGCAAACCACTCCAGGATCTTTGGCAAGAAAACTCCAAATGAGGTCATAAACAGTTGGACATGACTGAAACACAACTAAACAATAACAAAACAACAGCACTTACCAAGCATGGTTGTTGTGAGGATCAAATAAGATAACACATGAAAAGCACTGTATAAATCCCACAACAGTATATAAATGCTAGCTGTTATTAGCTATTATTAAGGGGAGGGGGTTTCAGTTTAAAAGGGGGTTTTTGGAAGTTTTTCAGTTTTAGCTACTGACAGGAGATGAACTATATAAACCATCCTCCTTTCATTACAATTTCCTCTTGACTCACTGCCTCTAAGGAATGTACTGACCCCTCACCTTGTGCATTAAAAAAGTCCTCCACTTTTTTAAAATTTAGCTTACATATGACTAGGGTCATTTATTTGTTTCCATGCCATTGTTCAAACCGTTATCACGGGAAAAGATCTTAACATTATAAAATTTAGAGTGAATTTAAAGTAAACCCTACCTTAGAAATCATTTAGCCCTGGTCCATCATTTTATGGATGACAAAACTGAAGGCTAAAGAGTCTAAGTGATTTGCCCAAAGTCACAAAGGTATTAAATGGCAAATCTGGGATCAGAAGCCAAGTCATAGAATTCACTGAACATGAGAGCTAGAAGCCTCCTATGAGACTATCTGGAACAATCTCCATTTTATTGATAAGACTCAGGAAGACTGACACTAATAATAATAACTTGTAGATGTACTTATAGATAGATAGATAATGAGAGACAGAGAGGGAAAAGAGAGACAGAGAGAAGGAGAAAGTGATAGACAGATAAAGTGATAGAAAGAAAGATAAAGAGAGAAACAGATATAGAGGCAGACAGAGAAAGATACAGAGAGAAATTTAAATTGCGAAAAGCTCTTTACAAATATCTCACTTGATCTTCACAACTAGGGAGGTAGGTGCTATTATTATCTATATTTTATAGTCAAGAAAATTGAGCCAGACAGAAGTTGAGACCTGCCAAGAATCACACAGCTAATAAGTGTGTGAGGCAGCATTCAAACTCAAGTCTTCTTAACTCCAAATCTAATACTTTACTCATGACTCCACCTAACTGCCTCAGATTAAGTGACAAGGAAAAATCCACTAGGTTAGTTTGGAGCAGAAATGAGACAACATCCTAACTGTCCTGACTTCCAGTTCAGAGCTCCAGGAGGCTACACTTCTTTTCTTAGTTTTAAAACAGCACTGCTTAAGCACCTGTTGGCATATGAATAAATGAAACTTCAAGGATGTAATTCCTGTTCCCTAGGAAGGTATATTCCAAAAGAGAGGGAGGGACCACATTACATCATGCTTAGAAGACTGCCTTGGACAGCATCACTTAGACTTCCTCATCTATAAAATGAAGAAATTGGATTGGATGATCTCAGAAATTCCTTCCAACTCTAAATCTACAATCCTATGGGCTCCAAATCACTCTTAAAGATATCACTTTAAAGATATTTGATTCCCTTCTCTGAACTATTTTTTTAAGTAAGATGCATTAAGTTGTAACAAATGGTCTTCAAACAATGAAAGATTTTAAGCATCCCTTTCTAACTTTCATGACATGATGTCAGTATTTAGTGATGCTGGGGGAATAGAACATGTCTAGAACAATAATCCAAAGCATGATTTTAACTATGACACCAACTTCCTAAGAACTTCCTCCTCAACCTACCATTCAGGTAGGACAAACACAATGGACTGAATCCAGAGGGTAAGGGTGGGAAGAAGGCCCAGGAAACCTGTGGTAGGAGTTGGAATATCTCTGGAACCTATATTTACTGGAAGCCTTCCTAGCTCATATACCTTTTGGGTGTTGATGTATACTAAGAATTACAGCAGGTTAAAAGTAGCATAGTGGATAGAGATCTGGGCCCAGAGATAAGAAGTTGTTGCTCAGTCCAACTCTTTGTGACCCCAATTGGGGTTTTCTTGGCAAAGACACTGGAGTTGTTTGCCATTTCCTTCTCTGGCTCATTTTACAGATGAGGAAACTGAGGCAAACAAGGTTAAGTGACTTGCCCAGGGTCACATAACTAGTAAGTGTCTGAGACAAGATCTGAACTCAGAAAGATGAGTCTTCCTGACTCCAGGCCCAGAACTTTATCCACTGTGCCACTCTATCTTAGCTGCCCCAGAATCAGGAAGACCTGAGTTCAAATTCAGCCTCAGATATAAACTAGCTGTGTGACCCTGGGCAAGTCACTTAACCTCGTTGGTAAAATGGGGCTAATAATAATACCTACCTCCCAGGGTGGTTGTAAAGATCAAATGAGATACCATTTGTGAAATGTTTAAAAACCTTAAAGTGCTATATAAATGCTAGCTATTATGTTATAACTTGTATTACAGTTATCTGTATAATCGTCTAATATCCCTTAAAATTTCTTGAGGGCAGGAACTGTATCATTTTTCATCTCTGTATCCCCAGAATCTAATGCAGTGCCCTTTAAAAAAAACAGTCTGGTCTATGATTCATAATTCAAGTTATTAAGTTATTAATTTGATTATTAAGTTTAATCATAAGTTTGAATTTCTTCTTTGTTATAGAGATTGCTTGTTGGATCCACAGACCTTCTCAATGTGGATGTTCCTTCCAACACTGCCAATCATAGTCCATCTGTGCTTGCCCATCCTGTGCAATTCTCATCTCTGTCCTACTGTAAATCGACCACAGTGGGTTTGCCCCAATGTGCAGAGGGCATTCCTTTAGTTCCTTTGATAACGGAGCACACAGATCTAGTGGGAAAAGCATTGGTCCTCAAGTGAGTTCTGAGCTTATGTGCCACATCTGTCACTCACTAGCTATCCTTAGAGTCAGGGATCGGTCATTTTTGTATTTGTATCACCATCACCTAACACTGTTGTTGTTGCTGTTGTTGTTTGTTGTTGTTCAGATGTTGTCAGCTGCGTCCAACTCTTCGTGACCTTATTTGGGGTTTTCTTGGTAGAGATACTGGAATAGTTTGCCATTTCCTTCTCCAGCTCAATTTACAGATGAGGAAATTAAGGTAAACAGGGTGAAGTGACTCATCTAGAGTCACACAACTAGTAAATGTTTGAGGTCAGACTTGAACTTCCTGACTCCAGTACCGGTATTCTATCTACTGTGCCACCTACTTGTCTGAAATTTAATAATTTAATCTAATTAAACTGAACATGGAGCTTATACATAGGAGGTGCTTAATAAATGCTTCTTGATTAACTGGGTAACCCTGGAAAAGTCTCTTCAACTCTCTTTTGTATTTATTTAGAATGGCTCATGGAAAGAATTCCAGATTGAGTCAGAACTCTGCTTGAGTTTACTATTTGTAAAATGGGTCTCATAATATGGATACTGCCTGCCTCAAAGTGTTGTTGTAAAGTAAACTTTCAAGTGCCATATAGATGTGCATCTTTACCAAATGTTTCTGGAACTGAAAAGTGTTTCCAATTGCCACTCAGATAGACACAAATGGGACCCACTGAGACAGACAAGCCCAATCCACCCAAGCAAATTATCAAGCCACTTATGTCACAGATAAGATTTCTCCTATCCTGTCCCCAAATAACTCATACTTTGTGACAGAGACTCCTTATTCTGGCTCTGGAAGGGCTTATTTTTGTTATTTAAGATTATTTTGTATTCTTTTCCCTTTACCTCTGCACATGAGAGATGGACCTTCCCATTGTCCTCGGGCGTTGCAAAAAACAGCAGGGTTGCTGGTCTCTAGCACATACCCCTTCCAGCATTTGTACTCAACTCGACTTCCATATGTGGTGTTTTTCAGAAGAGCTGGATAAGCATTTGGGAATGAAGGCAGAATCCCACAGTCCATAGCTGCACGAAAAGAAAAAGAAAAAAAAAAAAACAAGGACTGGAGTGGGAAGTGAATTTGTGGGGGAAGGAGAATACAAAGCAGAAGGAGGAAAATAAAATGACAACATTTAAAACCTAAAGACATGATCTGAAATAGGTTTAATGTTCCCCTCTGGAGATCTTCCCCTTTTCAGAAGTCAAGGGTTTTATTTGGATTTCAACCAATCAGTTGAGCACTTAAAAACCTACTACATGCCAGGCATAAAGGCATTTTTGATACCACAACCAAAACAAAAGAGTCCCTGTCCTCTCAGCAAGCTTCTGTTCTGCTCAAGAAGACAACATGGGCACATATAAGTATGTACAAAGTAAATAAAAGGTAATTTGGAAGGGTATGAGAGGGTATAAGGATGAGGGAGGGCCTCTTACAGTGCTTGAGCTGCATTTTGAAGGAAGACAATACTGATTCTAGAAAATGAATGTAAGGAGAGAGTGCATTCCAGGCCTCAAAGAAGGCCTGTACAAAGGCACAGAGATGGGTGATGAATGTCCTATGTAAGGAATAACCAACGTGACTAGACTGTAGTGAGCAGTAATTATTAATATTTTATACAAACATTCTTTGGTATAATTTCTGTCACATATTCTTGTACTAGAGTTGGACCAACTCAGTTAATTGGGGGAGGGGAAAGGATTCCGAGCATTTTTCTTTTTTGCTCACTCTATAAAAAGGCTTTCATCAAAGTGGGGAAAACAATATTTGATTTAGAGGTAATGAGGCTAGTTTTATTAATGTATTTGTTTTATTAATATATTAGTTTTATTAATATATAAAATATAATGCATTTTAAATTTTAAACAAACAGAACTTATACATCCAGCAAAGCATTTATCACTTGAAAGTAGTCACTGAGAAGCCATCCACTCACTCTAAAAATCTTATTTCCAAGGAGCTTCTTCTTAAGGGAGCTGCTTTTGAAGCCAATAGCATATTCTTTTGAATATCCCCAATAGTCATAAATCATCATCCTCTAAGGATTCTTGAGCCAAATTTTGTGAATCAGGTTGATCATCAAGCTAGATTATCTAGGGTCAAATCCAAGGACTAACAGAACAATTAAGTTATTAATTTAACTATTAAGCTGAATAATGAAGCTGAGTTCCTTGTTATGCTGATTCCTTGTTGGATCCATGGACCTTCCTTCCAACATGGTCGATCATAGTCCTTCTGTGCTGCCCACCCTGTACAGCTCTTGTCTCTCTACTACTGTCAATGCACCACAGGCTCCAAGATGCTCAGGGCGTTCCTCTAGTTCTTTCGACATAATATGGACACCAATGGAACATACAGGTTGTCCACTGGTTATTCCTTGTTTTCACTTTCTGATTCCATCAAGTCTAACAATCCATCCCCCTTGCCACTTTTAAATTTCAAGTCAAATTTAAAGGATAGTATTGATTATGAAGGTGGCACAGTGACAGTGCTGTGCTTGGAGGAGTGAGGAAGGCTCATCTTCCTGAGTTCAAATCTGGCTTACTAGTTGTGTGACCCTGGGCAAGTCACTTAACCCTATTTGCTTCACTTTCCTCATCTATAAAATGAGTTGAAGAAGGAAACGTCAAACCACTCCAAAATTTTTGCCAAGAAAATGTTAAATGGGGCACGATGTTGGATACATGTTAGATACAACTGAAATGTCTGAATAACAACAAATTGTGAAAGGAATAAAATACTCAAGTGACAGTTATGTTTATGGAGGATTCTCTTTTTTTTGTTTGTTTGTCATTTGATTACCAACTTCCATATTGTCTCCCCTTTCAGACCTCCCTCTGGAGAGAATTCTTCAGCAGGAAGCCCTCTGCAGATTCATTAGCTGTTAGCTACTCTCTCTTTTGTCTCTAGGACCAAATAAAACTGAACATACAGAAAGAGATGCCCATTTTCCCAAATCCTTCCACAGAAATATGCAGTTGCCTTTTCAATTATTTACGACCACATATTATCCCACTCTACAAATTATAGCTAATAACCCAAGGGCTCTTAACCCCATAATGTTTATGTGAGTTTCCAAAAAAAAAAAAAAAAGCCTCTTCCCTTCATGGTTACGGACAACTGAAATCTGACTGTAATTTCACATAGGACAAATGCTCCCCACTAGTTATATTATTCACTCCACCATATTAGCATAGGCACAAAGGCCTGAGGCCTGAAGAAACTGGGCAGTCTCTGACTTCAGAGAAATTTTAAAAATCAAACTATATGTGTCTATAAATTATAATTAAAATGAAAATATGCATCCCCAAGTCCTGTTCACCTTTAGACAATGATATCCAAATAAAGGGAGGAAAGTGATATGGTAAATAGGGTGTTGAAGTTGGAATCAGGAAGACTCAAGATCAAATCCCACCTCAAACACCAAGTAGCTATGTGACCCTGGCTAAGTCATTTAACCTCTCTTAGTTTCCTCATCTGCAAAATGGAGAAAATAATAGCACTGACCTCCCGGGACTGTTGTGAGGACCAAATAAGATAACATATCTAAAGCATCTGGCTAGCCTTAACGTGTTATTTAAATGCTAGGTACTATTAACATCATTATTATTATTATGATTATGCTCCCTGTCTTCAGGTGACTTCTGGAAACATGAGTGAGCTTCTGAAATTTGTGTGAATTGTCATGGACTAGAAAGATTAGTAAGATTACCAGAAAGATTAATAACCTTACATGCTAGTACAATGCTTTGCAATATAGGAAGAACTTTCACACATACTATTTTATCTGATCCTCATAACTTAGGTGAGGTAAAAAGAGCAACTATCTCCATTTTTCAGAAAGGAAAACTAAAGCTCCAGTGAGTTGTCTTTTGCACAAGGTCATTTGGTTATTAAGTGGCAAAACTAGAACTAGGACCTAGGTTTTTGTAATCCCAATTAGGATTAATTAATTAATGTAGGGGCAGCTAAGTGACACAGTGGATAGAACACCAATCCTGGAGTCAGGAAGACTCATTTTCCTGAGTTCAAATCTGGTATCAGACACTAGAGCTGTGTGACCCTGGGCAAGTCACTGAACCCTATATGTCTCAGTTTCTTCATCTTTAAATGAGATGGAGAAGAAAATGAAAAACCACTCCAGTATCTTTGCTAAGAAAACCCCAAATGGGGTCATGAAGAGTCAGCCATGATAGAAAAACGACTAAGCAATGACTAACTGAATTCTAATACTGTGTAGAAAGAAGGAAGCATAGAAAAGACAGACATCTATCTGCAATACATCTTCAATGAGGCAGGGCCACCCCATGAATTCTTGAATGCTTTTTTAAAAACACAGTATAGAGGAAAGATAACCCTTGCCCATAAATAGAAAATTATGAAAATACTAGTATGAAATTCATGTAAATTATTCCCAGACTGTTAATGTTTCCTTATGTGAGTACATATGCAAGCTGCTGAATAATAAATGAATGCAGGCATGCATGAATAAATGAATAAATGAAATTAAAATAATTAAATTTCCTAATCAGTAAGTCTATGATACTTAGCCACAACATGCTAGTGCCTAACCTACCCACCCCTTCCCTTTTTATCTTCCCACCTATTGCACTGGGAATAATAAACAAATCAACATTGACAGCCCTTCCCAGTTACAATGATAATCAGTTTTTCTATGACTCCCCAATCATCGATCATGATCATCACTGTGACTTTTAGGTATTTATTAAGTATATATTGATTGAGTGGCAAAACATCCCTCCCAACCTCTACCCTCAGCACTTAGCACAGAATCACAGGTTGTAAGGGAGCTTTTAAAAATTATTATTCATTCAAGTTAAGTGTTTATTCCAGATGTTGAAACACATTTTCCTATTTTTGGTAAAGAAATGGAATTACGACAGGTGCAGAATGTTGCATACATCAAACTGCCATTTTGTTGGATATTTTTGCTTAATTATTCTTCTTTGTTACAAGAGGGTTTTCTTGGGAGGGATATATTGGGAAATTGTGATATATAAAAAAAGACATTAACAAAATGTTTTCTTTAATTAAAATAAAATAAAATGGTCCATCAGGAAACCTGTCTTGTAAGCATCTGTTCTGCTTGACAAGAAACCATATCCATAAGCAAAATTCATGTTTTTTTCTAAACTGTATCCAACATGGATGGTGGAGGAGAAAGAGATTCTTCTGGTGAAATTGTGAAAAGAAATGAGTGCCAAGAGATTCAGTTTCTGGGTTGATGGGCACTGTAACAAATCATTGAAGACAGGATAGTACAGTGGAAAGAGCACTGGAAATAGGAAAATCAGTTTCAAATGCTCCCCACTCCCATTTATAACTTACTGTGGAATTTCATCCACATGAGCCTCAGCCTCCTCACCTGTAAAGTGAGGGGTTTTACACTAGTGATAATCTCTAAAGTCCCTTCCATCTCTAACATTCTATGCTACCTTGCCTACAACTTAATGCAATATAAAAATAACGTGGAGGGAGAAGACTTAAAATCAGAAGACCTAGGTTTGAATCTCGGGTTGACCACTTACTAGCTTATAAGCAAGTCAGTAGAGGTTCTTGCTTTCAAGAAGCTCACATTCTAATTGGGGAGAGAGTATTAAATAACTATGTATCTACAAGTTGGCACAGTAGATAAAGTGCTGGGCTTGTAGTTAGGAAGAATCATCTTCCTGAGTTCAAATCCATCCTGAGACACTAGCTGTGTGACCCTGGGCAAGTCAATGTGATACAATATACATGGTGCAAAGATCAAAGGCACCATTTGAGAAGAAACCTGGAGAGTTAAGGAAACAAAACATAATCAAAGTCTTGTGCAGAAAAAAAGCACAGAAGAAAAATGCAAAATTCTGCAAAAATCAAAAGGGGGAAGGAATCACTTATGGCTGAGGGAAATGTTGGGAAAGCTTCATGGAAAAGGTGGCATCTTAGCTAAGTTGGAAGGATAAGCAGTATTTCACCAAGCAGAATATAAGCCAGGGCATGGCAAGCATAGAACATTGTGAACATAAGTAGAATGTTGGGGAGACATGGAGTATATCCAAGGAATAACAAAGTAGTCCAGAATGGAGAACGTATGCAATGAGTATGAATGGTAGAGAAGAGAGCCAGCTTTAGAGCCAAGGAACATCGGAAATCAAATCTCGTCCCTGACACAAACTGGATGTGAGACTTTGGGCAAGTCACTTATAACTTCTCAGTGCTCTAAGGAGGCAACTCTAAGTATCATCATAGAAGTTGACAACCTGAATTTGTAAAGGGAGTTTCCTTACCCAAGATTTCCTCTACAGATGAAATCATAATAGAGAATGTGTGACGGGCTATCACAGGAGGTAACCTTGGAAAAGTCAGATGGACCCAAATAATGTTGTTTTGTTGTTTAGTCATTTTTCAGTCATCTCCAACTCTGCATGACCCCTTTTGTGGTTTTCTTGACAAAGATACTGGAGTGGTTTTCCATTTCCTTCTCCAGCTCATTTTACAGATGAGGAAACTGACACAAACAGGGTTCAGTGACTTGCCCAGGGTGGTATGTGTCTGAGGCCGGATTTAAACTCAGATTTTCCTGATTTCAGACACAGCACTCTATCCACTGTAACCACTTAGATGATCCAGATAATACGGGACTGCTATGTCAAGGTAAAAAAGTATAGATTTTATGTAGTAGACAATAGTAAGCATCTCAAAAAAAGCAAGAGTCTTATCTTCTACTTTTGCTATCATTCTCATTGTACTGCTTTTTTTTTTTTTTGGTGAGGCCATTGGGGTTACGTGACTTGCCCAGAGTCACACAGCCAGCTAGTGAGTGCTATGTTTCTGAGGCCGGATTTGAACTCAGGTCCTCCTGACTCCAGGGCCGGTGGGCTAGCTGCCCGTTCTCACTGTGCTTTTTGCAAAGTTTTTTTTACAAAACATATGGTAGATATTCAATAAATATTTGTTTACTTGATTTGATCAGCGCAAGTCAAATTGTGACAAGAGAGATAGCTATGGAAGGAATGGGGAACCAATCACAGGCAGTAAGTTCTGAGCACCATGATATTTCCTCTACATTTGTAAAAAAAAAAAAAAATTATCTCCTTTTGGATGAATAACAAAGAAGTGCCTTTATTCTATAGCTCCTCTCACCTTGACACTGTATCTTTGGGGTCTCCCACGTACCACCAGCAACACAACTTATCACACTCTCTTCCTGGTCACTGTAAAATCCTTCTTTACAAGCATAATGAACTTGGCCACCCAGCCTGGAGGTGTATTTTCCGATGATGTAGCCATTTGGAATCTCTGGAGGTGTCCCACAGTCTATTTCTATAGGTAAAATCATGTCAAATTGGTCATTGTATGGATTCTTCAAAGGCAAAAGCAAACCCTCTTCCCAATTAATAGATTCACTCTGGCTTGACCACTTGAATCTTTTTCAACAATTGTCTGGGAAATCTTAAATCTGTATCTACATTCCATTCTAACTTCACACAGGAACCACGTGTATGCATGTGCAACTTCTGAGTCAAGTCTGACTAATATGGACTAACAGAGGCAAGGCCAGTCTGACAATGAAAAGTCAGAATGATACAAATTTTTAAAAACTGACACAATTTTATTATTTTCAAGGTCATACTTAATACACAACCAATTACTAGCTTCTAGAGGTGGTACAATGGATAGCGCACTGGGCCTGGAGTCAAGAAGACCTGCATTCACATACTGCCTGACACTTATTAGCTTTGTGGCTCTGGACAAGTCACTTAATCTCTGTTTGCCTCACTTTTCTCATTTGCAAAATGGGGATAATAATCACATACTCCCTAGAGCTCTTGTCAGGATCAAAGGAGATATTTGTAAAGTGATTACCAGAGTGCCTGGTATACAGTAGGTGCTACGGAAATGCTTATTCCCTTCCTCCTCTATTATTCTAATGTATAAAGCTTGCTAAAACTGCTTCAATAAATTAGATAAGTTAGTAATTAGAAGCATTCATTTGCAACAGGGATCTTTTTCACTGACATCATTTCACTGACACAGGATGAGAAAGCTCACTGTACCAATGCATGATGGCACTTTCTGCACAAAAAAGGGTCTTAACTGTTTGAAGCAGAAGTGTCAAACATGCAGGAGGCCACATGCTGCCTACAACACTCCAGAGAGGGGCTGAACCAAATTAAAATATAATTGGATAATATTTAATAAAATAAATAAATATGCAATAAAGCATACATAATGTTAATAAGTGGTTTTCTAAGTCAATATGTGGCCTGTGGGGATCTTTCTGTACAGTTTAGTGGCCTCCATTTCTATTTGAGTTTGACAGCACTGCCCTAAAGCACCAAAAGGATAAGTGACTTTCTCAGGTTTATGCAGCATGTATATATTGAAAGGGGAACTTGAGTTCAGGTCTTTCTGACTCTGAGGCCAGTTCTCTATCCTCTAGGTCCATCTCCCACTGAGGAATACTAATAATTAATATGCCATAGTTTCCTCAAAACAGTTTAGCTTGTGGATTGGTTAAATACTCTACTTGACACCTTGGTGTAACTTTGTTTTCTTTGTAGATTTTGCAAGGGAACAGGTAAATCACCCATCACATATATACCCCCACATACTTAAGTGACTCTTTAAGGCAGGTAGTTCAGAGGAGACAGATGTCCCCATGAGTCCATCCCCACCTCCAAATATTACATAGCTAAGCAGTGACCCACCTGTGCATGATGTACCATCCCTCATAGGGTGGAAAGGTTGGGTCCCATTTAGGGCAAGGTATCCATCTTTGCAATAGCATTCATAGCTTCCAGGAGTATTCACACACCGTCCCCCAGGCCCACAGGTGTCTGGTACTTCACATTCATCCAGGTCTTGATGATCCAACAAAAGTAAAGGAGGAAAAGAGAGAGATCAAAAAGGGAAAAAAGTAGAAAAAAATAATAATTTTTCCATTCTACATTGCTTCATGGAGGAATATACTTGTTACCATCTCACCATCATTTCATCTATTTTAGATTTGTCTCTCCAACTTGATGGTAAACTCCTTCGTTATTGGGTCCTTGTCTTATATTTCTCTTGGATCCCTCCATGGCAGAAAATATGCTTCAGACACTCAACAAATACATGGTGGTTGAGCAATATGTTTTTACTAAGTTTAATTTACCTAAATGTGATTCATGAGTTATTGGAGTCAAAACTTTTATTGCTGCTACGCATATACCTTTTTCTCTACCCCTAATCTCACTCCAGTTCTGGAACAATGAACCATGATCAAATCAACTCTGCCATTATTCCTTCAAGGGGTGTGTCAATCTACTCCTCAAAGGTTCCACTCCTCATCAATATAACTTTCTGGACCAAAGTAATGCTCCCTGGATACCACTGCCCTAAGTTCATTACTTCCCCCATTAGAATATAAGCTTCTTGAAAGCAAGTTCTTTTGTTTTTGTATTTGTTTGCACAGTACTTGGAATATAGTATACCCTTTTAATAAATGCTTTTTTTCCCACGTATTCATTTTTCAAACTCTAATGTCCAAACTTCTCTATACTTAGCTAAGTTAGTCCTAGGTCATTAGACAAAATCAGTTGCAAAGATAATATCTGAATCTTTCCACTTTGGTAAAAATAATAACCCATGATATATAAAAGTGTAAAACGGCCCTTGGTCCTGGATGGCCTATTTACTCAATCACACTGGCAGAGTATGACAAGAAACACAAATATGACAATCTATAAACATCAATTTATCTATTAATATTCTGTGTAATAAAAATTATCTGGGGGTTCATTAATTAGGCACTGCTGCTGATCACCACACAAATCAACATACAGAGATAATCATCTGTAGATTTTATTTATCCTCAGAGTTCAGGCTCATCTGTAAGAAAAGTTGGAGTTAGAGCATCACCTTCAGCAGCCTTATATATATAATATCTGAGACCATATTTGAACTCAAGCCCTCCTGACTCCAGACCCACCACTCTATCTGCTGTGCCACCTTTTGGAGAATGATTAGACTGCCTAACCTGAAGGCCTCTTCACCCCCTACCACATGGGTGGAATGTGAAGCCTCCCTTGACTGCCTGTGTCTTTTAAACTGGCAAGACTGAGCAGTTTCTTGTCTTTCTGTTGTTCTCTGTTCAGCAACTCTTACCTGCCTCATTGAGAGGGTGAAGATCCCAGGTGACCCCAGTTAACCACAAGCAAGGACACCATGAACTGAACCAGTGAGATGAGAAGGATGTCCCTTCCCCTGTTCCCTCTTTTTTACCTGCAGATCCAAAAAATGAGCCTGGAGAGATTTGTTTCTGTGTTTTAAAGACAGTTTCAGGTGCTGGAGGTAATCCTCACAGGACCCAATTGTTCAAACCATGGAGGCCTTAGAGGCAGGCTTGCAGCTGGGATGGTACTGCCAGACAGACCAGCATAGAAGCTCTGAGAAGCCAGGGTGCCTGCAACTTGAGCCCAAGGAGGGTTTTGGACTTGGAACTGGGTCTATGCTCTATGGGAACTGAGCTAAACTATGAATTAATCCTCTTCCCCTCCCCACAGCCTAAGGTGGTACAAGGGGGAAGGGGGATTATTCCTTCGAGGTTTGGGGGAACTAAGTCTGTAGGTTTGTGACCATATCTTTTAAAGGAAATATTCCTTTATAAAAGTAAATCCCATTGTTTCCCTCTCAGCCTCTCTTTTCAATCTAACCCAGTTCAAGAAAACAGTTAAGGAACATTCTTGGTGGGTACTGAAGCCATTTACAGAGAGTGCAGATGCCCAAAAGCCCAGGACCAGATGATGGGCTGGGGGAAGAGGGCGAAATGTAACTAACCTGGCCTTCAGGCATAAGGGGCCATGGTAGCCTGTGTTACATTTGTATCCCCAATACTTAGCACAGAGCCTGACACATAGTAGTTTAATAAATGCTTATTGACATGTTGAAATGTAAGAAGGGATTGAGTTGTAAAGAGTTTTAAATGACAAAGGAGTTTATATTTCAGGCTACAGTTAATCTGTAGCCAGTGGAGTTCAGTAGCCTGAATCAGTAGGTACCAAGAAATCATTTTGGCAGCTGTGTCAGGAGACACAGGCCAGGAGGTCAGAAGGTCAGGAGACCAAAGAGGATGCTATTAAAAAAGTCCAAGCAAGAGGTGATGAAGCTCTGAGCTAGGGTGGTGGTTGGTTGAGTAGAGGGAGTAGTCAGATTAAAGAGATGTTGCAGAGATAAACAACAGGATTTGGCAACTAATTACAAATGTGGGATGAGGAACAATGAGGAATTGAGGGTGATGCTGAGGTTATGAACCTTGGTGATTGGAAAGATAGTGGTGCCATAGACAGTAACAGAGATATTCAGAAGAGAGGTGAGGATAAGTTCTATTCTGAAAATATCCATTTTGAGATAGTTATAGGAAATGCAATTTCAACTGTCAAATAGGTAGTTGATGATACAGGACTGTATCATCACTAGCCTTTTCCTGACCCCTAGTCCTTCTTCCCTCTGCCTCATCTCCTCTCCCCCCGCCCCAGTATTTATGTATTCATATACATCAATACACACACATATATGTGAGGGACTGTCTGATGTTGGCAACTACCAGGTGGACGTTGTGGCAAGATTGGGGTAGATCTGGGTATTTGGAAGTCGAGGCAGGGGCTGTGGTAGGTGGAGTTGTGGTGAACTGGGATGGGCTGGGTACGGAGAAGCCCTGAGGCAGTGGGCAGTGCTATGTGAGATAACCTGGGTGCAAGGAAGTAGCTGGAGCTTGTGCTCCTGAGGCAAGGGGCGGTGCCACGTGGGAGTGGGACGGCAGAGGACGAGTTCCCTTTGCTTAGTCCCCTCCCTATATGCAACGTCAACCCCAGACGCCTCCTTCCTGTGACCTTCCTGACTTCCTGGGTCCCTTTGTGTAGCACTGACCCCAGACGCCTCCTTCCTGTGTCCTTCCTGACTTCCTAGGTCACGTACTCTGTCTATGCACTAATCCCAGACGCCTCCTTCCTGTATCTGGTCCTAGCCTCCTACGTCACTCCCTCTCCCTTGGTGTGCTAAACTCAGACAGCCCCTTCCGGTATCTGACCCTACAATCATTGGCTAGTAAGCGGGCTGGGGAGGAGGGGCTAAGTAGGTACTTAAGGAACGAGCATGGTCAGATCACGCGCTCTCTTGGCTCCTGCTCTGTTGCTCTGGCCTTCCTGCTTGGCCTTGCTATGATGGCCTCTGAATAAAGCTCTGGTGTTGGCGCCTCCCGATGGCTCGTCTCTGTGTGTTTATCCAGTTGAGGACCGAAGACTGATGAGTGAGTATGACTCTGGCAGCCTGCTCGTTATAGGAGGAGGGTTCGGCGCGGCCGGCATAAGGTCGGCGCGGCCGGTACACATATATGCATAAATATATAGAGATATATAGATATAGAAAATTCCCAGATATCTAGCTAGCTAGCTAAATCTATACATATATGCAAAAATGCATATATATTTATCGAGAGAGAGAGAGAGAGAAAGAGAGATCTGGGAATCATCAACATAGAGATGATAATTGAACCCAGGAGACCTGATAAAGTTACCAAGGGAAAGAGTCTAGAAAAAGAAAAGAATATCCAGGACAGAGCCTTATTAATGGGCATGACACTGATCATGGATGACAATTCAGCAAAGGAAAGTGAGAATGAGCAGTCAGATAGACATCTAAGAAGGCATGAATGACCACAAATAGATAATACCTACTTTCTCACACCTACAAAAACTATATGAAAGGAGGCAGAACCAAGATGGCAAAGAAAAGGCAGCGACCCCTCTGAGATCTCCCCAAAACCCCTCCAAACACCTTTAAATAATGCCATAAAACAATTCCTAGAGTGTCAGAGCCCACAAATGACAGGGTTAAATAATTTTCCAGCCAAAGACAACTTAGAAGTTCAGCAGGAAAGGTCTGTTGCACCCGGGTGAGAGTGGAGCACAGTCCAGCACAGGCTGTGCCAGTGTAGATTGGGCCCAAGCAAAACAGGAGCAGACCTTGAGAGCCACTGAATCAGCAGTGGCAGCTGCTGCTTCTGGAGCTCTCAGCCCACAGACGGTAAGAAGGAGATTATAGGGGTCTCTTTGCTGGCACTGGGGGCTGGACTCTGTTACTTTGCCTATACACAGTTCTGGGCGCAGTCCCAGGGCAAGGAGGAGCACTAGCACACCACGGTTTATGGTCACAGTGGGTCAAGGACCTTCCTTGATGTAGGAATGTAAAAAGTTTAACCTTAGTAAGTCCCTTATGATTTCCCTTTCCTGTTTACCTTTTTATGCTTCTCATGAGTCTTGTATACATTTTTATATTCAGTACTGGTTTTTTCACAAGGAATGCTTGAAAGTCCTCTATTTCCTTGAATGTCCATTTTTTCCCCTGAAAGAATTATACTCAGTTTTGCTAGATAGATGATTCTTGGTTGTAATCCTAGCTACTTTTCCCTCTGGAGTATTGTTTTCTAAGCCCTCCAATCCTTTAAGCTGCTAAATCTTGTGTTATCCTGACTGTGGCTCAATGGGAAGTTCCAGGGCAAAAAAAGAGTGCTTGTAGTCACTCATATACCAGAGCACAGGCCAGGAGAGTAGTAAACACATCTCTCCTTAGATCATACCAGCTTGGGAGAACTGAAAACTTACATGTCCCCAGAATTACCTCTGAAAACTGCTGCACAAAACCCCTGAAGTTAAGGACAGCATGCCCTCCACCCTGGAAGCAGAGCCTTAAAAGTCAAGAAATAGACTGGAAAATGAGTAAACAACAAAAAAATAATTCTGACCATAGAAAGTAACTATTGTAACAAGGAAGATCAAAACACACTAAGAAGGGAAAAAAATCAAAGTTCCAACATCCCAAGCAT